CGTGTCTTGAGGAATTGTAGCCAATTATTGCATTGACGCTGCCGCCGAGGCCGCCAAGCTTGGTGACGACCTTGGGGACGAGTATGGGGCAACCGGCAACGCTGCTGCCATTCTGGCTCTCGCTGCTATCGCCATGGGGGCAATGAGATGGCTCATCGGGCTGATCGCCAACGACGACGACTTTGTGGCCCGAAGGACGGTCGGACGGACGACCGCCGGGCAGAATTAGTCCCCGCATACACCCTCTCGAGTGATCTCCCTTATTTTCAATGGCAGCAGGGTGGGGAAGCACGAGCTGTTTATTCAGAGGTACCTGGATGACCGCTACATAAGCCCACTGTCTCACAGTACCTTCAATGGCTCCAGCTATAGGCAGCCGCAGGTGTAGGAATACGGAGCCCTGTTGGGTGCGGCCATGGCACCGTTTCACAGTTATGGTCAAGTAGCCGTCTTTCCAGCCTTCATACGATAATCCGACGGGGATACCGCTTATATGCTGGCGGTCGCTACACTCACGGGTAAGCCCAACATAGTTTCTGGATTCTATTACATGCTCCCAATGCGTCCTGACGTGGCTGAGCACAATGGCCGCGCACACGCGGCATATATCGGGGAAGACAATGCCGTCTTATGACCTTTACTACTCTACCTCGCACAACGAGAGCAGTCGGAACCGTGGGTGGATTTCGGTGTCCAAAGAACCGGCTACGCCCCTGCTCTTGTTGTTCAAGGGGACAAATGATATTGCTTCCACGTGGGCTTTTCGAACGGCATGGTGTATCGCGCCTGGAGGAAAAGGGACACTTCCTGGCCGGCCAAGTGGGAAAGCCTGGGGATTACTAGCATCTCGTCCGGCATCACCGCGACGGAATGGGAAGGTTCAGTCTACATCGCCGGTAAATGCTCACCCGAGGGAGCCATTGGCGTGTATGAGCTGAGCGGAAAGACCTTCAGCCTTCCTGGGCAGTATTGCGTGGGAACTCCCACGGTTTTCACCGACAACACCACCCACCCGAATAGGCCGAGTGTGTGCTGCTCTAAATTCAACTTCGATTGAGCCCTGGGTATGATCGAGTGCGGGTGGCGCTTGTGAGACCAAGATACAGGTGGAGGTTGATATTTGAGGCTAATAGGTCGTATACTAAGTATTAGGAAAGAATACTCTTAAGGGTGGGATGCCTCTAGGTTGACTGTGAGCCTTGTAGCCGAGAACATCACAGCTGATTTAGATCCGCACTTCTGGGGGATTGGAATACCAGCAGGCAGTCATGGGACACAGCTCCGCCATCCCCAGAATCCCGGAAAGTATCATTCCGAGTCGCTTGAGCGAGATTTCATGTGGACTTGTGGATGGAGCGGAGTTCGACTTTGGACTATCGGGGCCATTAGTATGACACGTTCTAGATGCGGTAGAGTACAGTTTGTATTTCACCTAAACCTAAGGAGATAATAAATCACAAAATCTAAAGATCATGCAGACTACAATGCTATATACGTAGCTAAGATGGAGGCGAGTCATTGATGAACTACCATCCAGATGCCCTACTTCCTGGGCCTTGTTGGATCAATAGGGCTGACAAGCTGCCGTTACCAGTCCAAGACTGAATATAGTTGGTCTATTATCTTGGTCTATTTGGCTGAACGAGAGCCTTAGTATACAACAAAAATGAATGAAAAGACTAGCGCCGCAGTAAAACGTGCTTCATCAAGAGAAAAAATCTGGACAATTGGTTGCCTTAACCGTCATTGAACCTCACGCTTACAGGGCAGCCAGAGCGAGGCAGACGGCAACGACAGCGCCGAAGATGGAGCCCGAAAGACCGCTAGCAGCGTTGCTCAGGATGTTAGAAGACGAAGGAGCGGAGGAGCTGCCGGTGGAGGAAGAGGACTGGCCGGAGGCACCGGAGGCACCGGAGCCGGAAGAGCCGGAAGAGCCAGAAGCGGAGCCAGAAGAGGAGCCGGAGATGGCGGTGCTAGAGGGACGAGCCGACGAGGTAGAGTTCCAAAAGCCGGTGCCGTTGTAGGAGCCACCGGGTCCTTTGCCAACGGTGAAGGTGGGCTTAGCAGAGCCAGCGGCGCCGGAGGAAGCGGCAGCGGTAGCGAAACCAGAGGCCTTGGCGCCGGCAACGGAGGAGGCCGAGGGGACAGCAGTGGAGGAAGCAGCAGCGGAGGAAGAAGCGGAGCAGGACAGGTCAAAGAGAGGAGTGGTGCTCAGAGTGCTGCCGACGATACCGAAGCTGGGGTTGGGGGTCACCGGGTTGGCATCCTGCAGGATGTACCACCAGGTGTTGGTCTTGCCGAACAGGGGGCATCCCACCTCGTCCCAGTAGGTCTTGGCGTTGGCCAGGTTGGCAACGGCAAGGTTCTCGGTATTGCCGCTGACGGGCCAGCCAGTCTCGGTAATCCAGACCTCCTTGCCCTTGGCGACAGCCTCGGTCTTAGCCACAGATTCGTCGAACAGAGCCTTGGCATCGGAGATGGAGTTGGCCATGGTGTTCTGGAAGTACGGGTAGCCATCGAAACCCAGCCAGTCGCAGGCATCAATGACAGCCGAGTTGGAACCGTTGACCCAGGCAGTCCAGGTATCGACGTGGCCGATGGGGGCACCGCTCAGTTTGGTGCCAGCAATGGTGGAACGGACCTGGTTGATGTACGAGACGATCTCATCAGGGTTGGTGCCGAGGCCAGCCTTGGCCTTGACACCGTCGACCGAGTTACGGTACAGATCCTCACTGCCGACAGAAATACCGACAACCAGCTTGGCCAAATCATCTCCGTAATCGGCAATGGCGGTCTTGAGGGCAGCGATTTCGTTGGCGAAGTTTCCACCGGAAGCCCACAGGCCGAGCAGAAGGGAGGTTTCCTCGGCGACGGCGGCAGGGATAGCCGAAATGGGGGTGTTGGCGGTGCCTCCTTGCTGGTTGGAGGGTCAGTCTCTAAAAGGTCATGACCATAGAAAATGCATGGCAACTCACAATCATGGTGTACAAGCGGGCACTGGTGAAGCCGGAAGTGCCCACCAGGTTCTTGGCCGTCGAGAATTCGGCCTGGAAGTCAGACTGGGACTTGGCGCTGCCATCGGACTTGGTATTGCCATAGTTGAAGCCTTGGTGAGCGGCCTCGGAGGTAGCGAGCGCCAGAGCAAGCGCAACGAGCTGTGTGAATTGCATCTTGGAAGGTTCTGAGGTTCTGGAAACGAAAGTGTGTAGAAAAGAAGGTGCGGGCGTTGATTAAAGAACGTAGTTTATGTCAAAGTCAAGAATGAAGAACGAACTTAGAGGGAGAGAACGACTGAATTGAACATTGGATGTCAAAGACAAAGACCAAGTTCGAGGTGAATACAACAAAGCAGATGAGAAGAAGAGAGATGACAGAGGGAAATGGACAGCAGAAGAAGACTCCATAAATAACAAAGCAGGTCTAGACTCTGGGCCGGGTTGACCTGTCCATCTGGTAGCATCTGGTCCAAGTGGGCCGGGGACACGTTGGCTCCCATCAGTCAGGGCTTGTCCCGGAACTAGAACAACACTATTAAGTTATTAGCACTAAAGATAGCATTGCCGGATCGGAATTGCATGGATTTGATTGCTCCGAATACAATAATGTCTTCACTGCCTGGTGGATAGGCATTAAAAAATCAGAGAGGAACCATGGAAAGGGGACAAAATCCTGAGAGGAGGGCCCTAATTCCCTCAGTCCAATAATGGATGGGAGGAGGCAGTGGCTGAGAGGACCACCAATCAGCAAACATGTGGCAAATGGGAGATGTTATGCAAATGGCTTAATGCAGTGGATATTGTAGCCACCAGCGGGGCATTTAAATGGTCCTGCAAATGAAATTGGACTCGATTGTCTTGCACTCTTCCCTGTCCTGCCTTCGACCCTACTCCTAAGCCAAGTCAATAGTCCAAATGACGACATTTAAAAATAGCAATATGAGTAGGATGATATGTCATTATGGACTTTGGCATCAGATTTAGAATTAGGATTACTATGTACATGCCATGGAAGCCCCTGATTATCCTGCACGGGTACCTGAATAACCGACAGTAGCATTGTCCAGTCATATTACGCCAAAGTATCTATCTACTCCATATTATCTCTTGCGGTCAGCCGAAAGCAGGTTTCTCCTGTCTTACTCCGTACCACCGAGTATATTCTCAATGCATCTGGAGAAAAAATGCTTTCGTCCCCTTTGTGGTACTGAATCCCTTTCTGGACGAAAGAAACCCTACATTGCAACCTTCTCATTAGTCACATTCCATGTTGAGTCTTTCACAGTTTGCTCTGCAGCATGCCTGCATTAAGCTTAAGTTAAACGTGGAAGTATCCTGATGCCGTATGCTACTCCATTTTTCTGGTCTAATGAAGACACATTGGCCATTGTCTACTGGACAAGTCTTATGTTGCTGTTCCCGTTAGATTATGGGTATTTCCGTTTCAGGCGACGATACTGTATATTCTTCCGCAAACGTAGGTTGGTAGCGTGTCAGCCAACAAGACAACAATCTCAGAGGGATAACCCAACATGTGAACTTAATACTATGTATTCGACTGTGAAATGGGTTTCAACCTTTTCTGTATGGTAGTTTTACTATGATTCTGTGCTCTGTGCCTCAACTTGCCTTGTGCTGTAATCACGTGACCTGAATGGCACAATCAGTCACGAAATCACATGCCGGGATGCTTTCTCCTGTACATGGCGTAGATGTATTCTATAGAGTCTCTTGTACCCAGTTCGCAACTCCGGTGAAATAAAGCGCTTAGTCTTGATGGACGGGGGTTACTAGTTGTTCCCCTCACTGCAGGGGAAGTCCAGATCAACAAAGCAAGCATTTTATTTCGCTGTTCAACTTGGCTTTTCCCCAGGAAGGCATGATAGACAGGACGTGATATTTACCTGTTGACATACTATAACTATATCAAACTCCGACCTATCTACCTACACAAAGTGAATGAATGACGATGCCAGAAAATCAAACAATGGCAATCAGCGACTGTCACTTGAACCAATACCCAGTCAGTCCCTCAATCGTCCTCTTGCCGACATCGTGGTGCCGGTTCTCCTCCCAGACCTTGCCACCCTCTCCAAATTGATTGGACAAATGGCCCAAGAAAAAGTCCAAATTCTGTTGGCACTGAGGAAAGGCACTCTTAAAGAAGTCATAGAGTTCCTGGACCTGCGGTTTAGTCGGCGCATAGGTGACCTTTGCTGCAAAAAGATCCAAGTATTTCTGCGTGTGCGCAATGTCTGCTTTGGCATCCAGTTCCCAACCAGGCTCCAAATGTCCTGGAATGACCTTGACGGGCTGTAGAGCAGAAATGAGTGCGATGGTCTTCTTCCATGCGTCCAGCAAAGCAGGCGTTTCCACCTCTTCCACCCTATATCAAAGAGGAAAGTCAGTAGTTGTTGGCAGGTCGAGGTATTACAGCCTCACCAAACATGTGTGCTTCGACCATAGATCGTATCCCCACAGATGACCGTCTTCTCGATCGGCAGCCAGAAGATGGTGTGGTCAACACTATCTCCTTGCAGGGGCCCCAGCAGCACCACTGGGCTTTCGGGGTTGCCATTCAGCAAGAAGAAACCGAAATTGAATACTTCCGGCTTCCTGGGCGCTTCGGGAACATTTTCCTGTCCAAAGATAGTAGGCCAATACTTGACCTTGTCGTCATATTCGCGGTTGATACCCTCCAGGACATAAGAGGCGGCATAGAATTTCGCCGAGGGGAACGCATCCAGAATAGGATTTGCAGAAAAGAAATGGTCAGGGTGGTGATGCGTGACAAAGACGGCTTTAAGGGGATTTCCAGTGGTTTCTTTGATCCAGCGTACGACGGATAAAGCATCAGGAATCAGGAAGGGCGGGTCTACGAGGATAGACTCTGAGGCTCCAACGATCAAGGTACTGATGCTTGACAGGCCTTTGATAGACGAGGTATGATGATAAGTTTGTAGAGGCATGATGAGTCGAACAAGAGTCTAGTAGATGAACTTGCGAAGATGTTCATGCGTGAATGGAAAGAGGAGTTAATGTACCTCGATCAAGCCCTTTCTGACTGTCATCATCCATCCTGCTGGCTCGTATATCTGGTAGCCTGTGCGTGTTCCCCTCATTTTAGCCCCGCTTATGCCGACCATTATCTTCCGGCATCATCGGAAATCTCCCAGTACGTGCCATGTGGAATCATCAAATCTCAGCTCTAGATCGGGGAGGATCAATTCCTCCTGTCTGTGACGAGGACATCGCCGGCAATCCCCCAATGAGGATGGTCAAAGTTATTTTACCATGTCTTTCTTATACGATGTCATGTAGTCTTTTGCGGGGTGATCGTAGTCGATCAAGTGGATCATCAATGGAATCCGGGGGGATTCCCGTTTGCCTAGGTTGGATCTGAGATAATGGCCTCGTATTTATTGAATCTTCCTGATAAGGACATCTGGATGCTCCATCGCATATATATCCACCAACTTTACCTTTTATAATCGTTGGATACCGTAGTAGCATCCATTATGGCTCAATTTCATCCCACTATTACCCCAGAGTCTTTGAAGGACAAAGTTATTGTTGTGACGGGTCAGTCATGTATCTACTATCCCCAACGTCCGTGGCTCACTCAGCATTAGGAGGCGCCAACGGAATCGGAGCGAGTCTGGTAGAATACTGCTGTCAGCAAGGAGCGTATGTTTGCTTCGGCGATGTCGCTGAGGATGCGGGAAATCAGATCGCTCAGTCGCTGTGCTCATCCGCCTCATCGTCATCATCACCACGAGCCATCTTCCAGCACACCGATGTCACTAGCTACCAATCCGTACTCGGTCTTTTTGACCTGGCGCTCAAGACATATGGTCGCATTGATCATGCTGTTGCCTGTGCAGGTATCATGGAGATTGGCAACTTGTTCGACCCCGCCTTGACGCTGGAGACAGTTCGTGAGGTGCGTTACTGCTCTACGTATTGAGCTTTTAAGATATTGACCGTGAAAGGCGCCTACGACCAAAGTCCTCGATGTCAATCTGACGGGCTGTCTCTATGTTGCTCGCATCGCCAGCGTGTACTTGCGCCAGGACCGCCCGGAAAATGCAGATCGGTCTATTACTCTCATCTCCTCGGTCGCTGGATTCAAGGAATCTCCCGGAATGTTTGTTTACCAAGCTTCCAAACATGGAGTGCTCGGTCTGATGCGTTCACTGCGTTTGTACCTATCTTCTCCAACCCATCGCATCCGAGTCAACGCCATCTGCCCATGGATGACCACCACGGCCATGGTCAAGGGTGTGCAAGAAGCTTGGATGAAGGCAAAATTACCTTGCAACACCCCCGCCGACGTTGCCCACATCATCGCCGGCGTCCTGGCAGATTCATCGCTTAATGGCAAGTCCATGTACGTCGAAGGAGGGAGAGGATGGGAGATTGAGGCGAACCTTGATCGATTGGAACCCCAGTGGTTGGGTGAAGAACCGTCGCGGTCTCTGGCGCAGGGACAGGCAGTGCTCGGCAGTGGCATGGATTGGGCTCAATAGAAATTTAATTGTATTTAGTTAGACAATGTGACGTTTGTTATGCAACTGGAAGAAACATCCCATGCAGTCATCGTACCCGGATGATCGGCAATGGATATGAGTTTAGCCGGTCAACATGAATTTGCTCCGGACGATTGGACTCCTCTCTAGGAAGTATTCTTACGTGCATGCTCCTCTCTATTTTGCTTTCTCTCAGTTGAAAGTCGTCATCCTCTGTGGTTCCCCACATAAACTCGTATACCAAGACACCTGTCATGCATCAAAAGCCACCCGACGACCCCTTACCTACTCTGGATAACCCACATTCTGGTGTTGATTTGCAACAGCTGGACAATACCAATTCTGGAGATGGTGGCCATCAAGGAGATCCTATCCCTGCGCATGGCGGCACCATGTGGTGAGTGAGCTGCCTCTTGATCGCTCTACCTTATATCCGTTTCTAAAGCAAAACAATCACCCAGGAACCATGTCATGATTGTCTGCGCCGGTTTCGCCGTCATGTTCACCACTTGCGCTTTTATATTTGCTTTTGGTGTCTACCAAGCTCTATATGAAGAGATGGCCCAGGAAGCGCATTCTCCTTTCGTCGGTCAATCCACTGCTCGGATTGGCTTGATTGGAACGCTAGCCATCGCTCTCATGTCTATGGGAGGCCCTCTGGCAATGTCCTGGGCCAAACTCTGGTCCCCCCAGGCAGTCATCGTTGCTGGAGGCTGGGTCTTTGGTATTGCGTACATTTTGGCAAGCTTCAGCCAACGTCTCTGGCACTTTGCATTGACCCAGGGCGTACTGCTGGGCATCGGAACTTGCATGGCATATGTACCCACCTTGTCGGTTGCCCCGACATGGTTCGATCAGCGTCGTGGGTTGGCCATGGGGATCATCATCGCCGGTAGTGGCGTCGGAGGCATGGTGTGGCCACCTGCTTTACGTGCCATGATCACCCACTTGGGCTTCCGAAATGCATTGAGAATTTCGGGATGCATCTCGCTTACTCTGGTGTCGGCGGCAGGGTATATCCTACGCTGGGAGCCGAAGTTCCAGAAGCAGCTCCGGGTACAAAACCAGAGCCTCAGCAGGCGATCCGGCTGGATCAAAGTGCCGTTGGTCAACTGGCGGGTGGCAGGTTCTCGACGCTTTATCGCGCAAGCCTTGGGCTGCTTTCTTCAGTCTGCCGGTTATTCGACCCCCTTGTTCTTCTATGCTGCCTATGCGCGGACGTTGGGCTATAGTGCTGCGACTGCTGACAACTTTATCACAGTCAGCAACGCCTCGAACTTTGTCTCCAGGATCTTGATCGGATATGGGGCCGACAAGCTCGGACGACTCAACGCGTTGGCATTGACTACTCTGTTCAGTACCATCGCCGTCTTCGCCTTCTGGCTGCCCTCCATGTTTCAGCAGTCGACCGTGTCGCCGTCAAGCGCCGACGCCTTATTTATCGTCTTTACCATTCTCTATGGATCTTTCGCCAGCGCATACATCTCGCTTTTCCCTGCGTCTGTGATTGAACTGTTCGGCGTGCAGCACTTTACCAGCGTGAACGGGGTCTTGTACCTCACTCGGGGAATGGGAGCGTTGATCGGGACGCCGTTGACTGGAATGCTGATCCCTCAGTCTACCGCATTGGTCTCTTCAATTGTCTACGAACGGGCAGGGATCGTCTGCGGTGTTCTCCTCTTCGCAGCCACGCTGGCCTGCTTTTGGGTGAGAATTGAGGCAACTCTGGGCGAGGTTGGGAGGTGGAAGGCTTGACATGATCAATGAGTATGCAAGTAATCGTTACTTGTTTGAGTGGCTCACAGTATTGCAACTGAAATGCGCAGACTATTACAATCACAACTTTACCACCTGCTCTTCGGAATTGATGAAAGGAAGACGACGTCCCGTCAAAGTACTTATAATGACCGATCTTGCTCTTGTCTGCGACGATGTATTCTCTTAGAACATCGTTCTCGGAGCCGTCTTGCGCCGCGACTGCGATGACGGCCGCAGTAAAAATCAGCAGGACGGACGTCCTATCTTCAAGGTGCAATGGACGGGCAGCTAGGTCGGGACTCTCGCTCGGGTACCTCTCTATTGCCTGCCAATGCGTCAATGACAGGAAATACGGACAGTCTCTGGACGCCATTCTAGTGGCGCCTTAGCCATACTGAGACATTGGGTGAATCTCGGCGATGATTGACTGACTGATTGATTCATTGCCTCAAAGTCGCGAAATTCATCCTACAGAGACTCAATCAAATAATCAAAAATGGAGGGATTCTGAAACTCGTTCTACGAGTTCTATTGGTCTCAATCACACCAAACACAAATTGACCACAAAGGGAACTCCCAGGCCATCCTTTTGACCAGCAGCATCACTTGATACTCCTGTGATCCAACCAGTAATGAGTAACGTTCCCTTAAGATGTTCTCCAGAACAGTTAACCATGTAAGACATTTTAGAGCTACCGAGAAATGTGCTAGTTAGATAGTGGTGTGTTAATTTGGTTGCTCCCTCCAGCGAATTAATTCAGGGGCCAGACTAGTGATAATAAAGGCCAATTGCATCACGGTAGCAAGCCTTTAATCTCCAAAGGATCTCTCATTGGCGGCAGCGAGCTATACAGAGTAAAGCTCCTTCACCGTAAAGCTCCTTCACCTTGGGCGATAGCGTGAGCGTCAGCCAAAATGTTTGATCGGTCGTCTCCGACCTGGGGCAATCACCATATTTCTGGTACTGATGAATCTGAGGAGAGGATAATCTCGAAGCTATACGTTGTAGTTAGAAATAGCCTCACATGTCAAGCTTTTTTAACGGTCTAGCCGAAACCCATACAGCCTGTACTCCAGAGAGTCGCAGATAAGATGTGAACGGGGGCATAAGAACCATTGTGCTCTCCTGGGCCAATCAGAAATGATCATCCAGGGTAGGCAGGATAAACGACGATCGACAAGGATGTTCCGCATAGGACGTTCACGAGATGTGGATCCTCTAGGCAGATGTCTTAGTCTTCTCCCGTAAAAATCTCACTTCTGCTTTCAAGAGCCACAGGCAACCAACAACTCGATCAGACCAGGTCTTCTTGTCATTCGCACGTTGCCAGACCAGACCGAACATGAAGACTGTGGCTGGAGTACTGGTCATTGCTGTCAGCAGCCTGGCTGTAGTCTCTGATGCCGCCAAGCAAGCTCCACCAGCCCCCACGGGGAGCAGCTACCCCTCGGGCTTTGACATGACCCGGAGTTGGGCGAATTTGAGTCCATATCAGGAGGCGGATAGCTTTGGCGTGCCGAAAGGAATGCCGCACGGCTGTGAGCTGTCCCAAGTTCATGTGCTGCATCGCCATGCCGAACGCTACCCGACGCCGTATCCCTTGGACGGGCAGGGGATGGAGGATTTTGCCGCTAAATGGAGCAATTACACTAAGAGACTTCATCTCAAAGCCTCAGCCACGGGTCCATTGAGCTTTTTGAACGACTGGGAATACATTCTGGCAGAGGACACGCTCCTGGAAACCGGCGCAGCGACCGAGGCTACCGCAGGGGCCAGCTTCTGGGCCAAGTACGGACGGCTACTGTACCGTGCCGGCCGGGAGAATGGAGCGGCCTGGAATGCCTCGTTAAATGTGTATCCAAACGGCACGGCGCGTCCAAAGCCGGTCTTCCGCACAACCTCACAGCCGCGGATCCTGGAGAGTGCTCGATGGTGGCTGAGTATGGATTCCTTAGACCAGTAGTAATGCATAGCTAACAGGTGTTCAAGGTGGATTCTTTGGCAATACCGCTGCCAACAGTTCTAGTGACCAATATGACCTGGTTGTGATTCCAGAGGTATCCAACTTCAACAACACTCTGGCCTCTTACGACTCGTGTCCCGGGGATATGACCGAAGGGTGAGTGATAGCCAAGGAACTCTTTGAGCCTCTTGATGATAATGAGGCTAAGATGATTAGGGATGATTCCGCGCAAGAATTCATTCCCCGCTATACTCGGCAGGCCATCTCCCGTCTCTCCCGACACCTGCCCAAGGACTTTAACCTGACGGCTTTTGATGTGCTAGCGATGCAGAATATCTGCGTCTACGAATACACCAGCCTTGGAGGTTCCTCCTTCTGTTCACTCTTTACCGAACAGGAGTGGAGGGATTTTGCCTATAATGTCGACGTGCAGTACTATGGGGACTATGCGTACGGGTCTCCCACAGGCCGTGCGCAGGGTATCGGCTATGTCCTTGAACTGGCGGCTCGACTGCAGGGCAAGTTGATCTACTCCAGCGACACGAGCATTAATTTTACCTACGACAATAATCTGGCACAATTTCCCCTCGACCAACCCTTCTACCTCGACATGTCGCATGACGATATCCTCCTGTCCGTCATCACCGCGTTGGGACTGCGCTATTTCAGATATGGACCGCACGGCTTGCCCGGGAATGTTGACCACGCACTCAACCGGACTTTTGCCATGAGCCAGATGACGCCATTCGGAGCGCGCCTCATGTCGGAGGTTTGGACCTGTCCTCGTAATGCGTCATTTGACTCCCTTGCCCCGGTGCTATATCGTAACCCCCATGTCGAGCACACTGTAGACACGACCAGGTTCATCCGCTTCGTTCTGAATGGAGCTCCCTTGCCGCTGGACGGGCTGGTAGGCTGTGAGCAGGCTCGCCATGGGTTCTGCCCAGTCGAAGGATTTCTGAGTGGTGTTCCGACGCTGAAGAAAGAGGCAGAATATCAAAAGGCCTGCTTCGGACATTATCCGACTGGAAGCCAGGTGGGTAATGGCGCTCCAGAATCTTGAGTTTCATTTATCCACGACACCGTGTGACAGGGGTGCTGTAGTGTATGATTGTATCCTGTGCTCAGTCATCCTTTATTATAATTCTTCTGCCTGTATGAGTTGAAGAGCCATTCGTAGAGCACGAGAACATCACATCGCACTGAGTATAGTCTTGGCGTTTGACAATGTCTTAGACTCTTGACAGTCCTAAGTCTAGGCTCTTCAGGGTCCAGAAT